TTGGATTCCACTACCACCTGTACGCTGATGACATCCAGATATATCTCTCCTCCCCGGACCTCTCCCCTGCCGTCCTGCAACGTGTCACTGCGTTTCTTCCATCTCTGACTGGATGTCCTCCCGCTTTCTGAAACTCCGTCTCTATAAAACTGAGTTCCTTGTCTTTCCTCCTCCTAATACGGATCCTCCTCTTTCGCTCTCCCTTCAAGTTAGTGGTATCCACAGAAGTCCATCTTTGCAAGCGTGCTGTCTGTGCATCATACTTGATTCTGGCCTCACCTTTGAGCCTCACATCCAGTATGTAACCTCTTCCTCACATACCTGTCTCTTGCTCTCTCCTAAAGGGCAGTACTTTACTCTCTGCTCCAGCCCTGCTTCACTCCCACCTTATTTGATTGCTATTTCCTGTCCTAATGTGTTTTATACCCCACCTCCTATAGAATGTAAGCTCATTTGAGCAGGGTCCTCTTCAACATATCGTTCCTGTAAGTTTTCTTGTAATTGTCCTATTTGTAGTTAAACCCCCCTCTCATAATATTGTAAAGCGCAACGGAATCTGTTGGTGCTATATAAATGGCAATAATAATAATACAATGTATATGTAAATTCACAAATATATAATCTACTCCTAGATGCTTGAATTCTATCAAATATCATGTAATCCACCAAGACATATCCACCTTAACATCTTTGTTGTTACGTGGGAATGTGACAGTGTGACCTGTGGTTTGTCACAATGAAGCTGGACCATGCACGGTGCCTTTGTCATGTATTATGAATGTGGGAATAATTTCTGAGGATACAGTTATGTGTTCTCTGTGTACATTAATAAGCAAACAGCATTTTGGCTCATGTATTTCTTTCTTTTTTTTTTTTTTTGGTCTATACTGTTCTATTCATTAACCTGTCATTATTTTTTATATTTTAGGAACCTTTTGAAGATGGCTTTGCAAATGGAGAAGAAGGCACCCCCACTGGGGATGCTGTCACAAATCATGTTGCAGACAGCACAGGGGTGGTGAAGTTTGGTTGGATTAAAGGTGTATTGGTGAGTATGCATGTTGATGAAATCTGTTATCCCCTTGCAATCTAAGACAATGAAGATGGTCCTCTCTTTCCTACTTAACTCTTCTGGACCATTTTAACAAAACACAGATCACACACTGACAAAACACTGATAATGTAGAAATTGCATTCACATTATCAAGCACATCCTGAAAGCACTATCCAAAATTGCCCATTGTCCGTGTTGGCTCTAGTTGTATGTGCATGTGTGCACTTATGCACAAGATGCATAGATCTCACCCAGCAAAGGAGGAAGTGGAAAGGTTTGTTTTTTGTTATTTATGTATTTCATATGACTGCAGTTACAAACCACTCCTGGCAGGGAGACTAGTGAAGGGTAGTCTCTGCACTTTAACCTGTGCAATCATGCAAAGTTGTTATGGTGCTTTAAGTTTTCCCATTAAGACTCAATGACTGCACCATCCTAATTCTGGCGGGCAGTGGGTTGCTTTACTATATAAAATGGAACTCACAGAAGTAGATTTTAAAGAGAAGATTTTTTGCCAACCAAAGATGTCGTTTTTTTTTGTTTTTTTTAAATAAGAGAACACATATTTACCCAATAAGTGAAATTATTTGTAGTCAACCAACAATCAGAAAACACTTAACCTTAGCTTGATTTATTTTTGCATATAAACAGCCAAAACCAAATTAAAGCAAGAAAAACCTTTTAAAGTATGTAATAAAAGTTGATACATTTTCTAAAAATACGGTTTGATTTCCTCTCAGCTAGAAGAGTTTCTTCAGCCTCCGTTGCCTTTGACTGTATACTTAGAGGCTTTCTTTAATTTTATACAGGGCCGGCGCCAAAGTTAAGAGAACTAGGCATTCGCCTATGGCGCCGGCCTGCTGGGGGCGCACACCGGGATTTTTCCTGGGCTGCCCTTGTCTTGGGCCATAGTGCTAGGCGAGCGGCTCTTAAGCCAGCGCCAGGCTGGTCCTCAAGGTGCCCGAAAGTGCGGGCACACAGTGGAACCTTGTCATAGGGGGCCCAGGACGTGGCCATCTGGGCACCCCAGATGCTGTCCTTCTTAAATATGGCAGAGCAGGTGTCTGCTCTGCCGAGAAATGCCGGAGGAGAGGGGCTGCTGTAGTGTGAGCGGCGAGGGAGGCTGTTCATACAGCTTCTCACTTCTTCCTCGTACGCCCTCTGTGATGCCATGAGTCAGAATAAGATGTCATTTCGGCCCCGGCATACTAAACAGCGCACTGGAGGAGTGAGAAGCTGCCCCACTCTAGACCCCAGGGAAGTAGGGGGGCTTAATTTGCCTCCCAAAAATAAAATTGTGTGAGTCTTTTTGTGAGTGAGTGTGTGTTTGACTGTCAGTGAGTGAGTGTGTGTCTGCCTGTCTGTCTGTCAGTGAGTGTCTGTCAGTCAATGAGTGTGTGTCTGTCTGTCAATGAGTGTGTGTTTGTCAGTGAGTGTGTGTCTGTCTGTCAGCGAGTGTGTGTGTGTGTGTCTGTTTGTCAGTGAGTGTGTGTCTGTCTGTGAGTGACTAAGTATGTCTGACAGTGTGTGTGCTTGTCTGTGCTAGTCTTATAAATTAAATTCACCAAAATTATGTATTCAATGTATGTATGCAGTGTGTGTTTATGGATGTAGGTATTAGGCAGGATGTGTGTATGGATAAATGTATTAGACCGTATGTGTGTAAGGATGCGTGTTTATGGATGGATGGATGGATGGATGTGTGTATGGATGCATGTATAAGGCAGTATATGGATGTAGGTATTAAGTAGTATGTGTGTTTGGATGTACGCATTAAGCAGTGTGTGTATGGATGTAGGTATTAACCCCTTAAGGACGGTGGGCATGCTATGCCGTCCTTGGGGACCCGGCTCTAAACGTCTGCGGGCGGCATAGCATGTTCACACCGTCCTGTTCACTTACCTGCTCTCTGGCGATCGCGATGGAGGGACTTACCTGGAATCCCAGGGAGTCCCCCTGCTGCCGATCTGGCCCTCCTGAGCCATGTGATCGCGAGGTCCTTGCCAGGACCTCACGATCACATGGACAGAATAGCCATCCATAGCAGTGCCAGCAGGGGAGTGCCTGGAATGACTTAGATCATATATACATATACACACACTTACACATAAATACACATACACTGTCTAGAATATTAAATATATATATATATATATATATAATACATATATAAATACATTAAAAATGTAAAAATAAATAATTAAAATATGTGGAATTTTGTTCTAACTGTATTTTGATATATATATATATATATATATATATATATATATATATATAAATACACTTAGAACGAAATTATATATATCTATATACATAAATATATATGTATAAATCACTGTATATATAAATAAATATAATTTTAAATGAAATATGTGTGTGTGTGTATATATGTATGTGTATATATGTATGTGTATATATTTATATTTTAATTCTACATATATATTTATGTAATATTTTTTACATAATTAAGTCGTTTTATTAGTTACAATTTGAGGGACCTGCCTGATGACAGGCAGAAAGTCCAGAGAATTTAATCCTGTAACTTTCCAAGACACCATAAAACCGGTACGGTTTTACTCGAGAGACTTCGCTAAACACAAATATTAGTGTTACAAAACAGTAAAATGTATTACTACGATATATCAGTGAAAGTGATGTTTTTTTGCATTTTTCACACACAAATGACATTTACACTGACAATATAATTGTTGTGCTATGTTTTATGTTTTTTAAACACTAATATTTGTGTTCAGCGAAGTCTCCTGAGTATAATAGTACCCCTCATGTACAGATTTGATGGTGTTTTCAGTCAAATATAAGGCTTGTGTTTTACTTTTTTCACATTGAAATTCGTCAGATTGGTTACGTTGCCTTTGAGACCGTATGGTAGCCCAGGAATGAGAATTACTCCCATGATTGCATACCATTTGCAATAGTAGACAACCCAATGTATTGCAAACGGGGTATGTCCAGTCTTTTTTAATAGCCACTTAGTCACAAACACTGGCCAAAACTGGTGTTCAAATTTGTTTTTTGTATTTTTCACACACAAACAAATATGAACGCTAACTTTGGCTAGTGTTTGTGACTAAGTGTCTACTAAACAAGACTGTACATACCCCATTTGCAATACCTTGGGTTGTCTACTATTGCAAATCGTATGCCATCATCGGGGTAATTCTCATTCCTGGGCTACCATACGGTCTCAAAGGCAACGTAACCAATCTGGCGAATTTCCATGTGAAAAAACTGAAAAATGTAACCAAGTAACTTCCCAAAACACCATACAACATGTACATAGGGGGTACTGTTTTACACATGAGACAATGAATACAAATATGTGTATTTTATTGCAGTTTATTATGACATTCACAGTTAAAATGTCATGCAGAACTAAAAAAATCTTAGTTTCTCCATTTTTTAAAACATTTTATTCATATTAAATTATGTTTTATAGCTAAATATTTAATGTTAAATGAAAGTCCTATTTCTCCTGAATAAAATGATATATAATAAGTGTGGGTGCATTTAATATGAAAGAGGTAAATTACGGTTGAACAGACATATAGTCAAATTCCAAGTTTTGTTTACGTTTTATTTTGATCAAAACGTGTACATTTGGCTTAGTCCTTAGGGGGTTATGCAGTGTGTGTTTATGGATGTACACATTAAGCAGTATGTGTGTATTAGGCAAACCAAACCATATGGCAAAATGGCTGATCTAGAAGAATTCTCCAATTCGGTTATAGTCACAGTTCAGCTGTTTTTGCTTAAACTTTGCAATTTGGTTTTCAACTAACTACAATTAAGAATTAAGTGAATAAACCTCAGTGAGATTGTATTTGCTTTCATAAGGGGGCGGCAAAATGGATCTTTGCCTAGGACGGTAGAAATCCTTGCACCAGCCCTGATTTTATAATTATTATAAGTGAAAACATAATTTTGAAAACAAGTATTTGTGGAAGTGATACCAGTTATAGAATTAATATTCTGAATAGATGAATATTATTAAGATCTATTCAAGCTTATACTAAATGTAACTAAATTTACCTATGACAGGAATTTGAAAGTTCAATCCCTCAGAGTGAAACATAATAATAGTAAGAAGAAACTGCTTAGAGCATTAAATGACATGAAGCATGGAGAAAACAAGATTTCAGTTTAATTAGCGGCCAGCATTCCACTGTCACAGGAAGAAATACTTGTTTGAACAGTCTGATGTTTAGAGTATTTATACAGTGTATTCAGACCCCTTCATTTCACATAAAATTGTTCAATCTAAACGAAACACTGCATAATGACACAGCAAAAAACATATATTAAAAACTTTGCAAGAGCTGAATGGCAGAAACTACCCGCAACCAGGTGTGCAATGCTTGAAAAAGATTTGCGGCTGTTATCACTGCCAAAGGTGCTTAAACTGAGTTAAGGTTCTGTATGTTAAAGGGTTTCTCCAAGCACCATGACCACTCAAGTCATCTGAAGTGGTCATGGTGCCTTGAGTCTGTATGCAGCATTTTGCTATGACAATTCTGCACATACAGTGTTTAACTCCTTTGCTGCCAGAGATAGAACTCCTCCTCTGACTGCAACATTGAGGTGTGATCAGCCATCCAGGAACTAGAGGTTTCAGGTTGCCTAGTGTCAAATTTGTGCAAATTCTCGTGTTCTAAATATCTGTCATTGGCTCGGAGAGGTCAGGATCACCATCTGGCTTCTGAAGCTCTGCAGAAGGGGTATGTGGACTGATGTAAAATAATTTAAACAAATGTAGCATAAGGTTGCAACATAAAAAAAACAAAGAGGTCTGATTACTTTCTGAATGCACTATATATAAATATATATATATATATATATATAAATCACATATAGAATACAAGAGGCATTTAGAAAGAAAAATGATTGTTTTATTCAGCAATTGGTGCACAGAAAATCAACATTTCAGTCAAATCCAAACTTGAAGAGTGTCCCCGGTAGACTGAAGTGTTAATCCTTCCAGTGCGTCACTTCTTGAATACTATAATTTTAGCCAGATGTTGAAGCACAGAGGCGCACTGTGTTACTAACCATGCCATACAAGAAACTCCCCACTGCAGGCCATAGTTTAACCTCAAGGGGTGAATTTCTACTCACTAAGGCTAAATTTTGAAATAGATACTGCACGAATGGTGGTGTTATCTGTTTGTTTTTTCTGGAATGAACAGATAATAATGCACATACAACACCTAATGGATTAGCACATACTAAAAATGCTGCATAGACTTCTGGTATCGCCACACCAATAATAAATACAAAAATAAAAAAAGAATGGTGCAGCACTATCCAATCATATAGTGTTGTTGTATTGTTTTATGTTTTTTTTTTGTTTGTTCATATCAGCCAGAAAGTACACAACAAATAGCAGCAATTCGGCTCACTAGCCAATAAATGCTTTACTTCCTGCTATGCAAAAAAAAGTACTTAATTATTTTTGGAGACTGCTGCCCCATTCTTTTTATTTCGATAATAATGCACATATTATCTCCATGACAGCTCTTTTCTCATCTCATGTATCTTCCAAACTACCTGAGATCAGCGGGAATTTTACTCCTGAGTGGTGTGTGCCGGTATTACCCTTAAAGTAACCCCCTTCTTTAGTTACAATTTCCTAACATACTACACTACACTAACACTCACCTTAACCTATAAAGATCATGTGATAAAAAAATCCACAATAATTAAGTTTGTATTAATGCGGCATTGTCACCCCCTCCCTTTCTGAAAAATCTGTATTTCATAAAGATAGAATCTTTTTTAAAGACTCGTATTGACTGTATTATAATTTCACTCAGTCATGAGATATACTGAGACAAAGTATATCTCTGTATATTTCATACGCCTGACATTTCTAGACACTGGGCAGAGCTAACACCATCAAGAAATGTCAATCGCCCCAGCCGTCACCAGTGAAGGCTTCACGGAATTGTCTTTATCTATGGAACATCCCGCGGTCTTGTAGGCTCCTATATGGACCTCAATACCGTACTCTTCTGTATGCGCGAGAGTACAACAGTGACATTGGCTCCTGGCGCTGAAGCAGATCAACTGGAAGAAGATCGGCGGCGGTCGCGAGGGAAAGGTTCACATATGCAGAACTCACTTTGCTGTCCCCCTGGCCACCGGACCCCAAACGGAGATTACACCGTCATGGTCTTTGCAAATTCTGCAAAGTCCCCAGACAGTGACGGTTTCTAATTTATCAGTATGTGTCACATCATGCCATGTTCTGTGGAGATGTCTGGCTTTGGCTTCTGGTATCCAGTACTCTTTTTACATTTCTTGTTTAGTTTTTCTTGGTGTTTCTTGTTTTCTATTCTATGTCTGGTTTTCTTTATGCTGGGTTTTTCTGGGTTCATTCCTCTAATTTGTCCCTGGAAATCCCAGTCTCCGGGATTCATTTAAATGTTTGTTTTATGTTGCCACACCCGTTTTTTTTCCATCATTCCTTTTGTTTCAGTGTCCCTGCAGGCAGCTGCTCATGACTTCTGCCCTTTCTTGCAGGTAAGTATTATGTTTGTTTTCTTTGGTTGGTTTAGCTTGCATTAGGCAAAGTCGGACCTGCCAGATATGGGGTACATTGGCGTTGTGGCAGGCTTATGCAATGTATGATCATATAATGTATCTAAATCCCCATAGTTTTCATATATAGTACTTAGTTTTGTCTCCTCTTGTTTTGCCTATTATATCTGGTCTTGTTTTATTTTTATTCCCAGTCCATGTACAGTCCTGTCTTGCCCTGCCCATGTTATGTTTATGGTTCCCTTATGTATTGTGTACATGTTCTGGGTTTAGCTTCCTATCCTTCTCTGGTTCTGGGTTCTCCTAGTTCTGTCTTGTTTTCATGTTTGGTGACTATCCTAGCCTTGTCTTGTTTCTGTACTGGATACATTCTTGCTGCAGAGCCTCCCTATTCAGCTCATGGGAGGTCTGCTTAAATCCTGCTCCTAGCTTTTGGGATCCGCAGTAGCTGCATCAGGGTTCTGGTATGTGGCCATACAATCGCTGGTGCTTAACGCCAGGGGGCGTGTGGTTACCTTGCACCAGGCCCTGATAATCCTCTTCCACGCTGAAGACTCCCACTTATCATCAGGCACTCGGGTCCCGGTTTCCGTACCCCCACCCGTGACCGTATGCTAGAGAGCATATACATAGAAGAAAATATTAAATATTGTTTTATTATATTTTTAGTTGTAGGCTTGTACCCAAGCTTAAAAGTAAGGGCACTGAATGATCAGATGCCAAATCCACACACCACTCTCTGTGTACCAAATGACAATTAATAAATGTAATACTTATACATATGCAGATGTATATCAGAGGTATTCCATATGGTGAATTCCTATAATAACAAAAAATAATACATAGTATAGACTGTATAGATAAATGAAAAATTAAGAATAATTGAATCCACTCACGGATTACAGAGCCGTGCCAGGCTCTGTGTATAGTGCCCAAAGGTGCCTCAATAGGCTAAACGAAGAATCTCAGGAGATGTCCCCCAGAATCAGAAGAAGCAGCAATAGTAATAAAAAATTAACAAATTTATTGTAGATAAAAAATATATAAAAAATCTGTGTTATTCTCATATAGTAGTACACAGAAATGCAGACTCATTTCAACTCAGAGTTTTCATCAGTGCATAAGAGTTCATCTAGCTGCTTGTTCTTTTAAATTCGCCGCTTCTATGGCTGCCGATCATGTGGGCGGAAGTTCGGCTTGCCGGCGTCTGATGTC